GATCTGCTCATAGATTGGCTGGAGCTCTTCTATGGATTGCCTGCTGGTCACAGAGTATACTAACATGAATGCATGGCCTTTTGAGATGGAGAGCCTCTGCATGGCAGGGAATTGATGGCTTCCAGTGGTGTCTGTGATCTGAAGAGTACAGATGTTTTCCCTTGTCACAGCTGATCACCTGGCGATACGTATCTTCAACAGTGGGGATGTATGTCTCCCGGAAGGTCCCCTGTATGAAACGAAGTACCAAGGAACTCTTACCAACACCAGCAGCTCCAAACACAACCACTCGGTAATCATTACTTTGCTCTGGCATCCTGCTTGTTCAGTGGGGACCAAGGAAGAACCTTGAATTTACATGTTCCTTTGGTGAATAGCCTATCAAGGGAAAACAAATTAGATATCAGCAACTGAAGTTCCAACTTGTACTAAAATTCAACATTTGTTCCCTCCAAAACACAGCTTCAAGATTTTTAGCAAGGAATATGGTGCACGGGGATGATCCTGCTATTAGACAAAATGAAATGACAACTACTATGAAGAATCACCAAAATATGAGAGAGAGAAATATATTGGTTTGGCCCTCCACAAAATCCCAATTTCTCATGTGGCCTGTTGGGAAAATTAATTGCCCAACCCTAGTTTAGTTTAGGCAGTCTCCACCATCTTGAACATTTTCTGGATGTGTTGGATGTACTGTAATTTCCAGCTACTGATTCCAAAAGTCAGCATAACGACTGTAGAGGATTCTGGTAGACAAAGTCCATGCTTTTGGAGGGGTGGGTGGGGGGAACCAAATAGGAAAGTTTGCCCTATCTTCATAGGAAATTGTATTTGTTCAGATTGTTATTCTAGCCTAATTCATCAAAGGGATCCCAAAGTTTCAGACACAACTCCGTCCCATAACTAGCTCTCCAATTACAAAAAAAGAGAGAACAAACCAGAGATTAAAGTCCCAGATGGATGACAGAGAATTTTCATAGACATTCAGAGATTAAAGGTGGAAACTATTGCATGTTCTTAAGGATATTTGGGCTACAAAGGTTGAAACAAAGAGTAGCAAAGATTTAACAGTATTCTATCCTTCATTACTGCCTACTGTGGATCTAAATTTTTGCAGGCCTAGATGTTCTGAGTACTAAGCCAAGCCAAAAGCTGACCGGCAACACCCCAGTTAAAGGATTGCCTATATTGTGATATAATAGAGACATATTTCATGGTCAGCTAATGTTAAGCAAATCACAATGTGGCTTCTTAGTTTAATGCTTCATGTACAAGCCAATCTCCAAACCACATGGTGTCTTTTTCCATGAGTGCAGTCCAAATGTTTATACCTACACAGAATTGAGAATTTCAGAATTCCATTCCCGTTGCATAAAAATCTGGTCTATAAAAGATAAAGGTATCCTAGAGTCAAGCCTGCCTCCTGACTCCATGGATACAATGATGCAGTGATCTTAATAATAAGATCTTGTTGCTCCCTGCTCCGGGAGACTAGAGTTGTAAAATTCACTTCCTGGAGGTCAACTCATCCAAATACTAACCAGGGCCAGCCATGTTTATCTACATTGTCTGATAAACCACCTTTAAAAAAAAAAAAAGCATCACAGGACAATTTTTCCAGAAAGAAAGTGGTGGAGGAGGCGCAACAACTTCTGATACATGAACATCCCATTCTCAAGCCTGCAGTACTAAATGTTTATAAGATTAAGTTTCTCAGAAATAAAGAGGAACATCCTCCCAAGCAATGGTTAAATTTGCTTAAGATCAACAGGGTTTATAGACACTTACCGCTCGCACGCGCATTTTCCCTCACACCCGGAGTTAAGAGACCGCCCATCATCTAACCGGGATTCCAGTCAAGCGTGGATTCCGATCGTGGGAACGCGCTCAGAGACCGAGGTCTCGTCCACCACCACCCTCCAGGCCAGAGGAAATGACACGTGTTCCTTCGACCCAACACCCGGAGAGCCGAGCAGGCCTGCCGACAATCGGGAGGCCAAAGAGCGGGGCAACCTCGGAAGCGGCAGCCCGGCCAAACACGCACCTCACGGGAAGCCAGCCGAGCAGAAATCCAGTCCGGTATTGGTCGTCTCTGCGCCTTCCAGAGGCTGGGGAGGCGGGACCGCTGTCCTCACGACAACCGGGCAACAGCAGGAGGGATGCTCCCTGAAAACCAGCTACCTCCAAGCCCCGGCCGTGGAGCAACTTCCCGCCCTGGGAGAGAGTAGCCCTTCCTTGCGCTTTATCTGCCTCCCTGGCGGCGGCTCAACAGTGTAGCATGTGCCCGGTGGTCCGTCTTCTTCTCTTACTCGGTACGGCTGGAAAGCGGAGCGAGCGGCCAGGAAGGAGATCAGCCCAGCGCTGCCGCCGCCGCCTCGTTCATTCATTCATTAAATCCTCCCCTCTGGGAGGGAGAGGGAGGAGGGTGAGTAAAGTTCTTAGGATTGCGGAGGGACCAAGCGGCGGCTGAGCCGGTGGGCTGGAGAGAAAGCGATCCCCGCGGGATCTCCCCTCAGGCGACGCCCCCTTCCCTTCTCTGTGCAAGCGGGCCGTGTCTCTGGGTCTCTGGGGCGCCAAGAGACACGGATGTGGGAAGTGCTGCATCTGTTGAATTATCTTGCTTGGTCATTAACGGTGACACATGGAAGTACAATCAGAGGAATGAAATGGCAGCAGCCTATGTATGTATGCGTGTGTGTGTGTGTGTGTGTGTGTGTGTGTGTGT